TAGAAAGAATGAAAAAGAACAAGGGAATGCTAGTGTTAGAGGTCATTTTTAAATAAAAACAGAACAAGTCAATAGAACAGAAAAATAATAGATAATGCTAGTGTTAAGGTCATTATTTATAATAAATAAAAAAAATAAGTAGAAAGAATAGAGATAGAATAGAGAATGCTAGTGTTAGAGGCTCTTTTTTCTTTATAAATAAAACAAGTAGTTAGAATAGAAATAGAGGTAGAATGCAAAATGTTTCAATACAAGCATTTCAGTCAAATGTAGTTTAACCTTTAACCCACTTGGGGAAATCAACCCATGGCAACAGTTTAAAAGTAGCCCAATTCTGTGGAAAAAAAACGCGGACTTGGCAACCCTGCATCCAACAAGAGCTGCAGGAGTCAGCTTTGACTGATCACAGGTCGAGAATAAGAAGAGATGACTGACAAGACCATGCTTGAGTATTTGCTGCTCTCATTCAAAAATATTTAAATACTCCGCATCCTGAGAGCGGCTCCCTGATGCGCCAAAATTATATACAATATTAGAATGTTTAAAAGAGTAGACACGAAAATCGCGGGAGCGAAACACACGTTGCGGGAGCAGGCGGTAATGGCAATTCAGCGGGAGCGGGATTAAGACAACAGCCGAATCTCGGACATTTTGGGCAAGTAAGAAATCCCAGCCGGACGCATTTTTGTAGGTCCAAAAAGAGGACATGTCCGGGGAAAAGAGGACGAAACCACACATCAGTCCACAGTCACTCATCACTAATACTAGTGCTCAGAGTGCAGTGTTGGGTAAGTTACTACAAAAAAGAAATAACACCTTCAGCAGTGTAATTAGATTACCGCACTAATTACTCTCTCTTACATTACTTATTACTAATTATTTTCTAAATTTAACTAATTATATATTTGAATGTTTCATGTCTATCCTCGTATTGTTTAACTTGACATGCAACCTCGACTAGTTGAACAACACGAAATGCTCTTTTAATTCTTTCAAATAAATAATATAAAATTGCATAAAGTATTCTAGAACTGTCCAACGTATTTACAGGAAGAAGGTTACATTAAACGCATACATTTTAATATTAGATGCTACATTTTGATGTTGAATCCAGTATTGTTTTAAATAGAATTATTCTATAGTCTACGCAGTATTTAATGCATTTTTTAAAAATTGCATCAGAAGTAACTGTAATTAAATTACAGAAAACTTAAGAGTAATCCTTTACTTTATTTTTTCAAGAGAATTGTAATTAAATTACAGTAATTAATGACTTAGTAATGCATTACACCGACACTGTCAGAGTGAGGAGACAGAGTTTTGTTCCCCTCATTTTCCAGTACAATATTTAAAAGAAGGTGTTTATGATATTTCTGCTATAATTATGACATAGCTGCTTGTTTTCAAACATTTTTTGTATTAAAATTCAGAATGATGATATATTAAATTAATTAACCATGTTTCATTTTGTGATTCTAGAAGTATCAAGTACAATATTCTAGAATTTATTGAGCGGATGGCACTCACCGGGCTCGGACCCAGGGTTTGGTGTGCATCTCCAGGCCGCTGCCCCACACGCCGTGTTTCTGAGAGGCTTCGGGCAGGATTCCTCTCTCGGTTGCCAGCTCCTCGGCCACGGCGCGGATGTGGTACGGCTCAAACCCGCAGCAGCCGCCGATGTAACGGATTCCCGCCTTATAGGCCTCTCTGGCGTAATGCTGCATCTCCCAGCGCGTGAGGATCCGCGGCTCCAGAGCTGGAGAACACCACATACATCAGTTTCTCGTTCACACACGTGCAGATTTCATCAGGATTAAATCACAAACACACGCGCTGGTTACTCATCATAAGACCCACTCATAATAGCTGAGAGTCAGTGGACTGTGAGGAGGCATAACCACAGTTATTAACATCGGAAATCTAGCTATGTGTGTGTGTGTGTGTGTGTGTGTGTGTACCGAAGGGGAACTCTGGCAGGTCGATGAATCCCTGGCAGCTGCAGTCTGGTGTGTGATACGCCAGCGGCTGTGTCATATAATGTGCTTTCAGACCAGCTTTCTCCACGCCGGCCTTCATCATGGCCACGGTCTTCACACAGGTCATGGGGTCAAAGTGACAGTTCACACCCACAATATCAGCGCCTGGAGCACAAACACAGAACATCAGAGCATCATGAGATCCAGCAGGACTCTGTCTGCCGCCGCTGAGCGCATGTGATGCTGCAAAGTCTGGAGGTGCGTCTCAAAGCACACACTTATGCACTACTAGTGTACACAGTGTGAGCAGGATGATGCACTTATTTAACTGAAAACACGAAAGGTGTTTCAAATCATGCACAGTTTGTCATTTCGTAGTGTATATAGTGTGTTCACACAGAAAAAAGTGCATACAACCATAAAAACTGAGTGTGAAATGTTGGATATTCAAAGCATTAAATTACTGCAAACTGTTGACAAGATTGTATAAAAGTTGCATTATATTCAACAGCAACCAAAAAAAAAGAAGGACTAACTAGTAGATTAACAGTCAGCGTGCATGAAATCCACACACAGAATCTTGTGTGTGTGTGTGTGTGAGACACACCTGCTTTGACTAGTCTGACCGCACACTCTCCAGGTGTCACTCCATGCATGTCTCCTTCAGGTCCAATACACAGAGTTGCTGCTACAGGCTTTCCTGTTGCCTTCAGAACCTGGACGGCCCATTCAGCCTCCTCCACGTGCTCGAAGTACTGCAGATCAATCAATCAATCAATCAATCAATAACCAAACTACAGTCCAGAGCTCAGTGAGCACAAGATGAGAACTGTTGGAGTTCTGCACAGAAGCAAACTCCTCAGCTTTCAGTGACAACTCACTTTTTTCAGATGAAAATAGGTCACCAGTGAGATTGATTTAGATCCAGTGAGAAGTGTTTTTATGAGGAGGGGGTCCTTACAAGAGTAATAAAGAACTCTGGGGCCGGGTGCATAAACTGTTTAGACTAGTCTTAATAAGTTAGTCATCTCATTTATTTTCTTCAAGACTGGTCATAGCTTTTTTAATTCAGTTATGAAAAGGTAGATTGGTCTTGTTTGTATCGGAAGAGTAAGATCTGGGTAACTGCTAGTTGATCAAACTAGTTCTTAACACACAAAGTTTATGCATCTGGCCCCTGGTTGTTTCAGTAAGTTCTGTATAGTATTGTCTTTACTCTTTACTAAACTATGTCTAAAAAGAGTAATATTTGATGTGTTTGAGGTCAGAGATGTGTGAACGCTGAAGAGAGAGAGAGAGGACACACATTTAGCATTTTAGCTCAGCATTTCCGTCTAATCAGCCGATATTGTCTTTAATAGCCTGCAGCATAGCACTTCATCTTTTATAACATGATTCTGTACAAATATATTCAATCTGGATTTTTGTCAAATCTTGCAACAAGATGTTAAAAAAAATTTTGTGTGTGTGTGTGAAAAATTTGTTTTGGACATAAGGTAATAAAAATAGCTTAAAGTAACTACAGATGAGCATGTAAAGCAAATATCTTTAAAGGAAATCCCGTGTGGAGCATGCCCTCGAGCCACACAATCTTCTCACCTTTTTCCTCTTTACCTGTTTGCTTCTCTGAGTTCTCGTTGAGATCTCAGGTGAGGTTTCTGTTTGCTCGTTCTCACCTCGGCGATCAGGAAGTCCACATTCTTCTTGATGAAGACGTCCAGCTGCTTCTTTAAGATCTTCTTGACCTCGTCTTCGCTCTTGCAGCTGAGGTAGGAGGGCGTCTGCGAGACTCCGCCGGCCACCAGAGCGTCTCCCTCGCTGGCTACTTCTCTGGCCAGATCGCAGGCGGCCTCGTTGATCTGCTGGCCCTGCGCACGGTCAGCAAACATCTCTGTCAGTCTTTGGCTGTAATCTTTGCACGCTGATCTGAGACCAGAGTTGTGCAACGTTTAAAATGAGCTCTAAAAAATAAAGTTAAAGTTAATGCAAGACATCATTGCTTTTTCATGCACTGGTCTATTTTGCTTCTATAACATGTCGTCTTTCAGACTAGTGGACTGACAGCATCCAAAACACACATTCAAGTGCTTATTTTATTTACATTAATTCCAATCCATATCTTTAAAGAGTTTTTTTCTCTTACACACACACACCAAACTTTACAGTTTTAATCCTCTCTATATTCTGAGGGTTTGTTCATATTTCACTTACACTGATTTATACAACATCCAAAGAAATCCAAAATCCCCTCAGGAAAAACCTTTAACATTTTATCTTACCACTAAGAGCTCTCCTAAAGAGCAGTACAAGTTTTTAGCTAAGAGTTTTCTCCTAAAACCTATTCACAGAGCTGCTGAGACTAACTTGTACGAAGGAATAGAGAGAAGAGCTCAGAGTAAGGGGGCGGGGCTGAGCTCGTTGCTATGGATGATGTCAGCATGCTTATTAACTATGCACACAGTGATTGGCTGATAGTCTCTGTCAGAGATTTATTCATAGAAATACTGTAGAGTTCAATATTATGTTGCCATAATCAAATAAAAATGTTGCCACATTCAAATAAAGATTTTAAAATGCAGGCTAAGTGTCACTAATTAAACAAGTATATGTTCAGCTTATTGTCAGCCTCTTGCATGTGTGCTTCTCAAAAACAATTAGTGAATATGCATATGAACAGCCTTTTAATGAACAGTAGAAGAATCCTGGCTGATAGTAAGACATGCAAATGTAAAAGAAAACCAAACTGGACGCAATAACAGCTGTGACTTCTTGCCTTTCTATGGTTAATAAAAACAAGGATATAATCAAAGGAAATTTGTAGTTGGAATAACCTTTAAAACCGAAGGCGATATCTTTTTAAAAGCTCATTATTGTCAAATGTTTCTAAAATGTTTGTTTCGAGGCAGAAGCTATTTTAGGATAGTTTGAGGGGCTCCTCTTCACTGCTCCTAACCTTTCACAGATTTAGGAGCTAGTTTTAGCGCTGAAGCACTTTGTGAAACACTCTTGGAGCAAAAATGTATGAGTCCTGAATTTAGGACTGACACGCCCATTATTTTTAAAGATGTTCTCCTAAATCGGCGAGTTATGAGCTACTTTTAGCCTGAAGATGTTTTGTGAATACTGGCCCAGATGAACTTTGAACGTTACTGGAAGAGATTTTTTTCATAACTTTGAAAGAGCTTTTCTAGACTGTTATCTGGGGCCCGTTTATTTACGGCGAGTCTCACCGGCCTCTGGGTGCTCAGCAGCGGCCTCTGGAGTCCAGGGCCCGGCCTTCACATATCCTCGCTTCTCCAGCGCGAACACGAAGCCTCCGTCTCCAATCACCACCTCACCCGCGTCCATGCGCTCCAGAACACCCTGGACACACACACACACACACACACACACACACACACTCAGCACTGCGCGATATCAGGTCAAAACACACACGCATTCACCGCAGAGACCCGTGCGCAACCGCGGATCAGGGTGCGAGTGCGCTCTCCAAGCGCGTTTTATTCCATCTATAATCGCATTAACACACACTTTAACACAAGTTGAGTGTTTCTGTCCATGTGTGTGAGACAGCTGACATATTAATAGCTGGAATAAATATAATCCTGCAGCAGGATCTCATGCGTCGCGGCGCGTTCGCGCTCTTAATGTAAAAACAACGCGCTTAAAAACCTAAAAACTGGACTGAAGAATCGCTAAAAGTGTCTAAATCAGAAACTCACCCTCTTTGATCCGACTGGTGCCATGTTTAGCAGGAGATTCAGAAACAGATGGAGATCTTCAGGAGAGCTGAGTGAGACTAGAGAGAGATACTCAAGAGAAGAGCGCTTATAAAGCACCGCTGGAGGGGTGTGTGTGTGTGTGTGTGTGTGAGTGAGTGTGTGTGTGTGAGAGTGTGTGTGTGTGTGTGTGTGAGTGAGTGTGTGTGTGAGAGAGAGAACGGCCCCCTGTAACCTAAACTAGTTCACAATGTTACTGGTTAATGTTTATCTTTCAGCTGATCTCGTTTCTTAGAATATCGGTATCATCAGAGTGATGCTCGATAATAAACGCGCCTGATATGTCTCACGACACGTTCAGCAGACAAACACTAGAGAAATAAAGACGTTTGTGTTTGAAGTCTATATTTTAAAGCAACATGTTGTACCAGTAATTCTATTCTAGCAACAAATACAAAACCGTTATCTAGGCGTGCGCAAAATGTGTTCTGAGAACGTTTGAAAGTTATGAAAACATTCTTAATATTCTAGTTTTTTTTCTTGGCAATGCCAATGTTAAGTGAACATTCCATTTTATAATTTTGCAAATATTATAAGAAGTTGAATGTTCTCTGAACGTTTGGAAACAAATAGTAACATTTAAAAAAACAAAACCAGGGGTGCTTTATCTCCAGCTGTAATAAAACACCTGAAGCAGCTGATCAAGATCTTACTGTACTAGAATCTTCCAGACAGCTGTGTTGAGACACTGGAGCTAAACTCGACAGGATCCAGTTTGGACACCCTGCACTAAAATATTCCAGTTAAATGTGCAAATAACATTTTGTGCAACTCTTTGAGAACATTTGTAAAGACCAGATAATTCTGTTAATGTTACTGAAAGAACATTTGTTTATAATGTTGAGAAACCCTTGGCAGAACGGTGGCGTTTTTCTAATGCTTCAGTTAAGATATGAAAATGTTATTTTTGAATGTTCTCTGAACGTTTAAAACGCCCAGTTTATTTTAAATGTTTTCAAAACATTTTTTCTTGGTTATGTGAATGCTAAGGAAACATTCCATTTTCATCAGTTTGCAAACATTATGGGAATGTTACATTTGAATGTTCTCTGCACGTTCAAAAGTATCAGTAATAAAAGTAAAAGTAACAATAAATCAGAACATTCTGAAACAAAACGGTAACATTTAAAAATGTTAGACGAGCTTAGATGTTTCAGACAAACTTTGCAAACATGAACAAACTTTACTGGAAGAATTACTGTTCATAACTTTGAGGAAACCTTGCCAAAACTTCAGGCAAAAATCTGAGAGCGTTCCTTGTTAAATGGAAAAGCTGCTGGTGCAGATGTTTTACACAGACTGTGATTCTAGACGAGTTATTGATCATTGATCGTGTCTGAGCTGATTATCGCTGCTGTGTGTTTGAGACTTTAATCACGTGATCTGCTGCCTTGACACATTTTACCTTCCACAAACATTCCTCTAGACCTCACACACACACACACACACACACACACAGGGTTGCTGCAATCTGTGTTTGTGCTGCAGATGGTTCATTCACTCAGAGTGTTTATGAAAGATATAGTATTGCAGGTCAACACTGCAGATATAACAGATGCTGAGTGCGTAGGAAAAAAAGTATTGAAATGTCATGTTTTGTTTATGCGCACTGAATCATTCTGTTTGAGTCTGTGTTCAGTGTTTTCTCATGTAGACTGTGTTAAATGGTTAATGATAATGAATCGTAATTCCCTCACAGACTCTCCGTGTGTTTGAGGCGAGCGGGGGCGCTGCTCGAGCGTGTTTCTGTGTTTGTTTGGGAACTTCGATCCGAACTCGAGACGAACCTCAAGAAACTACATTCGCTCTCGCAAATCAGAATGCCGCGAATATTAAACGCATTTAACGCTCTTGTGAGGCGAGACTTCAGGAGAAAAACACTGCGCGATTCTGCACGGAGCTTCGCGACAGATGACGGGTGAGAAATCTGAGACAGAGCTGAGAAAATATGAATTATGTCTGATAGACTTGACAATTATGAGCTGTGTGTGAGAAATATGTGAGATAGAGCTGAGAAAATATGAATTATACCTGATAGACTTGACAATTATGAGCTGTATGTGAGAAATATGTGAGATAGAGCTGAGAAAATATGAATTATACCTGATAGACTTGACAATTATGAGCTGTATGTGAGAAATATGTGAGATAGAGCTGAGAAAATATGAATTATACCTGATAGACTTGACAATTATGAGCTGTATGTGAGAAATATGTGAGATAGAGCTGAGAAAATATGAATTATACCTGATAGACTTGACAATTATGAGCTGTATGTGAGAAATATGTGAGATAGAGCTGAGAAAATATGAATTATACCTGATAGACTTGACAATTATGAGCTGTATGTGAGAAATATGTGAGATAGAGCTGAGAAAATATGAATTATACCTGATAGACTTGACAATTATGAGCTGTATGTGAGAAATATGTGAGATAGAGCTGAGAAAATATGAATTATACCTGATAGACTTGACAATTATGAGCTGTATGTGAGAAATATGTGAGATAGAGCTGAGAAAATATGAATTATACCTGATAGACTTGACAATTATGAGCTGTATGTGAGAAATATGTGAGATAGAGCTGAGAAAATATGAATTATACCTGATAGACTTGACAATTATGAGCTGTATGTGAGAAATATGTGAGATAGAGCTGAGAAAATATGAATTATACCTGATAGACTTGACAATTATGAGCTGTATGTGAGAAATATGTGAGATAGAGCTGAGAAAATATGAATTATACCTGATAGACTTGACAATTATGAGCTGTATGTGAGAAATATGTGAGATAGAGCTGAGAAAATATGAATTATACCTGATAGACTTGACAATTATGAGCTGTATGTGAGAAATATGTGAGATAGAGCTGAGAAAATATGAATTATACCTGATAGACTTGACAATTATGAGCTGTATGTGAGAAATATGTGAGATAGAGCTGAGAAAATATGAATTATACCTGATAGACTTGACAATTATGAGCTGTATGTGAGAAATATGTGAGATAGAGCTGAGAAAATATGAATTATACCTGATAGACTTGACAATTATGAGCTGTATGTGAGAAATATGTGAGATAGAGCTGAGAAAATATGAATTATACCTGATAGACTTGACAATTATGAGCTGTATGTGAGAAATATGTGAGATAGAGCTGAGAAAATATGAATTATACCTGATAGACTTGACAATTATGAGCTGTATGTGAGAAATATGTGAGATAGAGCTGAGAAAATATGAATTATACCTGATAGACTTGACAATTATGAGCTGTATGTGAGAAATATGTGAGATAGAGCTGAGAAAATATGAATTATACCTGATAGACTTGACAATTATGAGCTGTATGTGAGAAATATGTGAGATAGAGCTGAGAAAATATGAATTATACCTGATAGACTTGACAATTATGAGCTGTATGTGAGAAATATGTGAGATAGAGCTGAGAAAATATGAATTATACCTGATAGACTTGACAATTATGAGCTGTATGTGAGAAATATGTGAGATAGAGCTGAGAAAATATGAATTATACCTGATAGACTTGACAATTATGAGCTGTATGTGAGAAATATGTGAGATAGAGCTGAGAAAATATGAATTATACCTGATAGACTTGACAATTATGAGCTGTATGTGAGAAATATGTGAGATAGAGCTGAGAAAATATGAATTATACCTGATAGACTTGACAATTATGAGCTGTATGTGAGAAATATGTGAGATAGAGCTGAGAAAATATGAATTATACCTGATAGACTTGACAATTATGAGCTGTATGTGAGAAATATGTGAGATAGAGCTGAGAAAATATGAATTATACCTGATAGACTTGACAATTATGAGCTGTATGTGAGAAATATGTGAGATAGAGCTGAGAAAATATGAATTATACCTGATAGACTTGACAATTATGAGCTGTATGTGAGAAATATGTGAGATAGAGCTGAGAAAATATGAATTATACCTGATAGACTTGACAATTATGAGCTGTATGTGAGAAATATGTGAGATAGAGCTGAGAAAATATGAATTATACCTGATAGACTTGACAATTATGAGCTGTATGTGAGAAATATGTGAGATAGAGCTGAGAAAATATGAATTATACCTGATAGACTTGACAATTATGAGCTGTATGTGAGAAATATGTGAGATAGAGCTGAGAAAATATGAATTATACCTGATAGACTTGACAATTATGAGCTGTATGTGAGAAATATGTGAGATAGAGCTGAGAAAATATGAATTATACCTGATAGACTTGACAATTATGAGCTGTATGTGAGAAATATGTGAGATAGAGCTGAGAAAATATGAATTATACCTGATAGACTTGACAATTATGAGCTGTATGTGAGAAATATGTGAGATAGAGCTGAGAAAATATGAATTATACCTGATAGACTTGACAATTATGAGCTGTATGTGAGAAATATGTGAGATAGAGCTGAGAAAATATGAATTATACCTGATAGACTTGACAATTATGAGCTGTATGTGAGAAATATGTGAGATAGAGCTGAGAAAATATGAATTATACCTGATAGACTTGACAATTATGAGCTGTATGTGAGAAATATGTGAGATAGAGCTGAGAAAATATGAATTATACCTGATAGACTTGACAATTATGAGCTGTATGTGAGAAATATGTGAGATAGAGCTGAGAAAATATGAATTATACCTGATAGACTTGACAATTATGAGCTGTATGTGAGAAATATGTGAGATAGAGCTGAGAAAATATGAATTATACCTGATAGACTTGACAATTATGAGCTGTATGTGAGAAATATGTGAGATAGAGCTGAGAAAATATGAATTATACCTGATAGACTTGACAATTATGAGCTGTATGTGAGAAATATGTGAGATAGAGCTGAGAAAATATGAATTATACCTGATAGACTTGACAATTATGAGCTGTATGTGAGAAATATGTGAGATAGAGCTGAGAAAATATGAATTATACCTGATAGACTTGACAATTATGAGCTGTATGTGAGAAATATGTGAGATAGAGCTGAGAAAATATGAATTATACCTGATAGACTTGACAATTATGAGCTGTATGTGAGAAATATGTGAGATAGAGCTGAGAAAATATGAATTATACCTGATAGACTTGACAATTATGAGCTGTATGTGAGAAATATGTGAGATAGAGCTGAGAAAATATGAATTATACCTGATAGACTTGACAATTATGAGCTGTATGTGAGAAATATGTGAGATAGAGCTGAGAAAATATGAATTATACCTGATAGACTTGACAATTATGAGCTGTATGTGAGAAATATGTGAGATAGAGCTGAGAAAATATGAATTATATCTCATAGATTTGACAATTATGAGCTGTTTGTGAGAAATATGTGAGATAGACTTGATTATGAAAATATGAGGTATACCTGACAAATGAGGACATTATATCTGATATACTTGACAATTATGAGATGTATCTGAGAGAATATGAGACACATCTGACAGATCTTGCAAACATTAGGGGAATGCATGGGAAAATACAGCCTAATGGATTTAATACTTTAATAATCACAATATCCGATTCTGCAGAAATGTGTGATTGTGCAGCACCTGTGATTCAGCGATCATATCGGATCATATTCTGATGATCTGTGACGCTGTGTGTGTGTTCTGGTTCTCAGAGACGGATCGGCCGGGGTTCTGGCGAAGCGTCTGAAGGATTCGGCGGAGACGGTGGTCATCGGCGGCGGGTGTGTCGGGGTCAGTCTGGCGTATCATCTGGCCAAAGCCGGACAGAAAGACGTGGTGCTGCTGGAAAAGTCTGAGCTGACGGCCGGATCCACATGGCACGCGGTACGCACACGGGTCAGGGGTCAGAGGTCATCAGGAATCTAGATGTGGTGTAGTATTTTAGAAAACACTCCTGGCTGCAACAAACCACATAAACCTCTAAATGATGAAAGCCATTGAATAGTTACTCTGGGTTTTTTTATCATAAGGAGTTTGATGTAACTGTAACAGATGTGGGTTCACTCAGAAGTAGGGCTAGGTTTTGACACAAATTTCACGATTCGATTCGATTCTAATTCACAAGCTTGCGATTCGATTCGATTCAATTCAATTCGATATCGATTATTTTGGATATATATCAGGTACAGTACATGCCAAATTTTCTCAAGAAAAAAAATCTCTCAACTAATGCTGTAAAATATACACAAGAGTCAGTTGGTACTACATTACTATAAAATTGAAAGTTAAAATTGACTGATTTGTTAAAATTTAATTTAATGAAGTTTAAAATAATAAAGTTACAATTACATAATAATATTTTTACTTTGATTAATGTTTTTGAAATATAAACATAATGGTGGCTGTCATAAAAACGTGATGGATTTATTCAAACATAAATTAAACATTGAAGAACAGTAAAAATTAAAAATGAGAGTCGATTAATATCGAAATATCTATATTTTTTACCCAGCCCTACTCAGAAGTCGTCTTGATAAATGCTCATAAAATACAGATTGTTTCAAAGCAGCTTCACAGAGATAAACAGGAAAATACAGAATCAGTGATGTGATAAAATACGAGACAAATTCAGCTGTAAAGCAGCTTTAAAAAGACAATGTCAATATTCAGATCAGTTCAGTAACTGTGTAACGTTTATAAATTCTCAAACAAATAAAATTTCAATTATAAAGCAGCTCTAGAAAGACAGTGATGTCATTATTCAGATTAGTTCAGTCGTCCAAGTGCCGCTGCTCCATCTGTTTGAATGAGCAAAACTGTAAAAATAAAAGCATTTTCTGGCAAGTCAGCAATAGAATGTGGTTTCAAAAATGGAGATTCTATTGTTGAAATCAGATTAGAACTGTACATCTAGAACCGGATCAGCCTGAAGATTTCTGTGTGTTCTAGAATAAACAAACTCATATTAAGTGTTTGATTTCTATACTCCGTCTGCTCCTCTCAAACTGACTCGTCTGACCAAACCTTTAAGCCACTGTTAGTAATTAACCAGTATGACGGCTGTTCTGTCCATGGTTTTCTGCTGTAAGAAATTAAAAATCTTCCTGTAGCTTAGTAAGTAGATCATGGCGCTTGCAGTGCCGAAGTCATGGGTTTGATTCTCAGTGAATGCACGAACTGATAAATTGTACAGCTTGAATGCAATGTTTTAGTCACTTCTGATAAAAGCGTCTGCCAAATGCATGAATGTAAATGTAAAAAGCATGACAGCTGACAGTGAAAATGACTTGTTTTCAAGTCTCACTGGAGTATTTCAGGTTAAACAGGCTGAAATTTGACTTAAAATTATTGTCTGAGGTGATTGACGGTGTATGACAGAGGTTATGTTACTGTGTGCATGTGCATGAGTCTGAACGACGTGATGCTGACGCTGCTTTCATCCACAGGCAGGACTCACCACATACTATCATCCAGGCATTAATCTGAAGAAGATTCATTATTACAGCATTAAACTCTTCGAGCAGCTCGAGGCCGAGACGGGACAGGTGAGACACATCAATAAACATGTTTACTAGAGCTAGAGAGATTCATTGCAGGTGAGTTGCTCAGAATTTCGCTGTAATGAACTGCTGCAGCTCTGTGAGGCGTTTGCAGCTGCATTGAGTGTGTTGTGTGGTGTATTGATTGTGTGATTGTGGTGTGATTGTGTCGCAGGCCGTGGGCTTCCATCAGCCCGGCAGCATCAGACTGGCGTCCACTCCGGTCCGAGTCGACGAGCTCAAATATCAGATGACCAGAACACACTGGCACCCGACGCCACAGTTCCTCATCGGCCCCGAGAAGATCCAGCAGCTCTTCCCTCTGCTCAACATGGACAAGGTACAAACACGTTCAGACGCCCGAGGATGATGTCCAGACTGACACACATACTGTGTTTTAATGATGATATTTAATGGTATTTTAACGTTGAATTATTGTCTTTTTTTTCTTGTTGAAAAGCATCAATAAAAAGTGTTAGTATTTTAAACATAAACACTATAAACATGTATTTTAGTTTCTGTCACTCCACAACAAATCCTTTACATTTAACGGTATACAGAACAGAACAGGAATGAAAATATGTGACCCTGGACCACAAAACAAAAAAGTCATAAGGGTCAATTCTTTGAAATTGAGATACATCATGAATGATGCATCATCAGCAGCATCAAGCTGAATAAATATGATTTCCATTGATGTATGGTTTGTTAGGATAGGACAATATTTGGCCGAGATACAACTATTTGAAAATCTGGAATCTGAGGGAGCAAATGCATATTACTAATCAAAAATTAAGCAACATTTCTTCATGGAATATGATCTTTACTTAATATCCTCATGATTTTTGGCATAAAAGAAAAATGGATAATTTTGACCCATACAATGTATTGTTGGCTATTGCTACAAATATACCTGTGCTACTTATGAATGGTTTTGTGCTCCAGGGTCACATATGTGCGTAAAACAAACATAAATTATAGTGTAAACAACGTTTATTTAAAGCATGTTTTTATCCCTCATTTGGCACAAATCCAAATGTTTGCACTGATGTTAGTTGCAATACATAAACTACTTTGGAATATAAGTCACAGCATGTTTCATATGATTAAAAAACTACTTATATTCTTGAAAATACATGTGTTAAATTCGGTGAGGACAGCAGAACATCTGTGTGTGGATACTGAAGCTGCTTGTCTCTGTGTGTCAGGTGTTGACGGGTCTTTATAATCCGGGTGACGGTCACATCGACCCGTATTCTCTGACGATGGCTCTGGCAGCGGGAGCGCGAATGTACGGCGCTCAGATCTATTATCCTGCTTCAGTCACAGGCCTCACACCGACCGCCGACGGCAGATGGGACGTCCAGACGCCACACGGAACCATCCGAGCCAATCGCATCGTCAATGCCACAGGTTCGGCCACACCCACACGACAGACCACACCCCCACATGATAGACCACACCTGTTTGTTAGGCCACACCCACATACGCTAGACCACACCCACACAATAGACTACACCTGTTTGTTAGGCCACACCCCCATGTTAAACCACATAACACATGTTAGACCATGCCCTCACATTATAGGCCACACCCACATCTTAGACTACACCTCTTTGTTAGGCCACACCCACATATGCTAGACCACACCCACATGATAGACCACACCCGTGTGTTAAACCACACCCCACGTGTTAGATCATGCACTCACAATATAGACCACACCCACATCTTAGAACACACCGCACATTTGTTAGATTACACCCTCACCTAACAGACCATGCCCCCAATATGTAAAAACCACACATGATAGACCACACCTGTTTGTTAGGCCACACCCCCACATGTTAAACCACATAACACATGTTAGATCACGCCCTTACATGATAGACCACACCCACATCTTATACCACACCCCATATATATGATAGACCACACCTCCACATGTTAGGTCACACCCACATGTGTTAGGCCACACCCCTCACTGCGGTCTGAGGAGCATCTGCTCCCCGTTTATATTTTAGAGCTGCAGCTGTCGTTTTCAGCGGGAAGTAGTAAAGAATAGACATTTCAAAGTAAGAGTCAGCCTTTATTATATTTAAAAGTCCCACATTCTGCATTAAATATTTTTTTCTGAATATTATGGTATTTTTGTGACGCAATAAACTGTATCTGGTATTTAATTCAAGGTAAACTCTTGTATCTTCTCTCTGGGCCACCAGTCACAGGAAGGAAAGACTAAGAACGTGATTTATCATATTCAATTTATAGATTGTACTAATCTGACAGAATTTTGACATGGGTCCAGATCTTTCTGCAGGATTTGTTGTAATATTTTGTGCTGACGTTCTTATGGGAATGTGCTGAAGCAGCTTTGATAAGATGATCAGACACACATTGCACAGTCACACGGACCTAAAAGCCGATCGCTGACCTCTGACCTCTCCTATAGCAAACACACCTGATTGCGTCCCATAATCCGTCTCTGCTGCTGTTTTCATCCTGTGTCTCTGAAACGAGTGTGCTGAAGGTCATGTGCTCCTGATCCAGAGGTCAGATGCAGTCAACTCTGCTTCCTTTTCCTGTTTTCTCTGCTTGTGTGAGTCTGTTTAAACATGAGATCTGACTGAGAATGTTTCTGTGAACTGAATTGAGTAATAAAGAAGCAGAGTCAGATCTGAGTGTGTGTGTTTGTGTTTGTTTAGCTGATTTTGTGTTTGTTTAGCTGATTTTGGTCCAGATTTAATGCTTTTGGGGTTTTGGCCTTCTGCCCCGCTCACATGACCAGCCAATCAGCTCTCGCCAACAGTTCATCTCTCAGCCAATCATCAGAGGTCTCTCTCACACGCCTCAACTCAACCAGTTCTCACCAGAACTCTTCATTCGTTTTTTTCCCTCAAGCTGACCGAACAAAACTCTGACTTCAGTTATTTCTGTCAAGGAAGCCCATCAACTTCAGTGACTGACTCAGATATATTCTATTCTATTCTATTCAGTTTTATACTTTTCTTTAATATTATAATCTATTCTATTCTGTTTTATTCTGTACTATTCTATTCTGTTATCTATTCGCTTATAGTCTATTCTATATTGTTCTAATTTGTTCTATTTTATTCTAATCTATATTATGCTAATCAGTTCTATTCTATACTATTCTATTATGTTCTCTACTGTTGTTCTCATCTATTCTACTCTTTTCTATTCTATTCTAGTAAGTTCTACTCTGTTCTATACTTTTCTTTAATATAATCTATTCTATTTTATTCTGTACTATTTTATTCTATTCTATACTGTTATCTATTCACTTATAGTCTATTCTATATTATTCTAATTTGTTCTATTTGATTAAATTCTATATAATGCCAATGGGCTCTATTCTATTCTATACTATTCAATTGTGTTCTATACTGTTGTTCTAATCTATTCTACTCTTTTCTGTTCTATTCTAGTAGGTTCTACTCTGTTCTGTTCTATACTTTTCTTTAATATAATAATCTATTCTATTCTGTTTTATTCTGTACTATTCTATTCTATACTGTTATCTATTCGCTTATAGTCTATTCTATATTGTTCTATTTTATTCTAATCTATATTATGCTAATCAGTTCTATTCTATACTATTCTATTATGTTCTCTACTGTTGTTCTAATCTATTCTGCTCTTTTCTATTCTATTCTAGTAGGTTCTACTCTGTTCTGTTCTATACTTTTCTTTAATATAATCTATTCTATTCTGTTTTATTCTGTACTATTCTATTCTATACTGTTATCTATTCACTTATAGTCTATTCTATATTATTCTAATTTGTTCTATTTTATTCTAATCTATATTATGCTAATCAGTTCTATTCTATACTATTCTATTATGTTCTCTACTGTTGTTCTAATCTATTCTGCTCTTTTCTATTCTATTCTAGTAGGTTCTACTCTGTTCTGTTCTATACTTTTCTTTAATATAATCTATTCTATTCTGTTTTATTCTGTACTATTCTATTCTATACTGTTATCTATTCACTTATAGTCTATTCTATATTATTCTAATTTGTTCTATTTTATTCTAATCTATATTATGCTAATCAGTTCTATTCTATACTATTCTATTATGTTCTCTACTGTTGTTCTAATCTATTCTGCTCTTTTCTATTCTATTCTAGTAGGTTCTACTCTGTTCTGTTCTATACTTTTCTTTAATATAATCTATTCTATTCTGTTTTATTCTGTACTATTCTATTCTATACTGTTATCTATTCACTTATAGTCTATTCTATATTATTCTAATTTGTTCTATTTTATTCTAATCTATATTATGCTAATCAGTTCTATTCTATACTATTCTATTATGTTCTCTACTGTTGTTCTAATCTATTCTGCTCTTTTCTATTCTATTCTAGTAGGTTCTACTCTGTTCTGTTCTATACTTTTCTTTAATATAATCTATTCTATTCTGTTTTATTCTGTACTATTCTATTCTATACTGTTATCTATTCACTTATAGTCTATTCTATATTATTCTAATTTGTTCTATTTTATAAAATTCTATATAATGCCAATAGGCTCTATTCTATACTATTCAGTTCTATACTGTTGTTCTAATCTATTCTACTCTATTCTATTCTAGTAGGTTCTACTCTATTCTATTCAGTTATATTCTATTTTATTCTATTCTATTCAGTTCTATTTGGCTGTATTCAGAGAAATAGAGAGTATGAGCTGTTCGTTTGTCTCTCTCCTTGTGTTTGATTCAGTTTTTTCAGTGATCCATTGAGGTTAAAAGCATTTTTAACGGTTTTGGCTGTAAACGATGAATTTACATGAAGGACTACCTGTTTTACATGCAAAAGTCAAGTCAAGTCAAGTCACCTTTATTTATATAGCGCTTTTAACAATACAGATTGTGTCAAAGCAACTGAACAGCATTAATTAGGAAAATAGTCAAGAACATCTTGCTGTTGGAGAATAAAAGACTGTTATTGAAGTGACAGTCTCTGAGATTAAGTCTTTATATCTCGTTTTTAAGTGAATGAATCCTGTTTTAACATGTTTAGGTGGAGTTTGCAGTTTATTGTCTCTCTTAGTGTCATTTCTGACTCTTGCTGTAGCATGATGTTTATGAAGGGAACTCACACTCATGCTTCAGCGATGACGTCACCAGGTTCTGTCGGGTCAGAGCCACAGGTCTGGAATCAGTCAAACACACCAGGAGGTCAAAGGTCAGAGCTCACGGAATGCTTGCAGGAGGATCCAGTTACTGTGAACCCTGCCGACCTACAAACATGCCGTGAGCCGTGATTGGTGCCTCAAAAAACACCTCGACCAATCAGACGACATCTCACAGCACTACAGATGTGTGTGTTTGTTGCTCTGGCTGAACTAGTTCTGACACACACACACACACACACACACACACACACAGACAGCATAATTCAACAGACCAAATGAACACACTAAACAATGCTTTATTAAAAATGTCAAAATGCAAAAGGTGTGTTGGGGTTAGAAAATATCATTAGCTCAGTGTGTGTGTGTGTGTGTGTGTGTTGGGCTGCTGGAGGTTATTTCAGACTGATGGATCATGTTCTGTGTGATTATTTCAGGACATCTGCAGTGTTTGTGTGTCTCCTTTGCTCAGGAGTTCTTCTTAAAGGAACAGTTCACTTAAAAATAAAAATCTGCTGTAAATATTCTCACCTTCAGACCATCCGAGATTAGGATGAGTTTGTTTCTTCATCAGGTTTGTAGAATTGTCACCTGTAGCTTGTTTATTGAAGATTTATGAACTCGTATTTTAGTTAAAAGCGTCTTAATGCTGGATTAGTTTCAGCTTTTGTCTTCTCGGCCTGCTGTTCGGACCCTACGAGAAGGAGGAGAAGATGAAGCTGCAGGACTCGTGGATCAGAGACGGAGTTCCTCCAGGTCAGCACACGATCACAGAGAGCAGAGCACAGTGAAAGCACAGCACAGTCTGAGGCCAGCCAAACGCACAAGCACTCTTCTTCATGAGCATTTGAGTGTGCGGATAAAAACTAGAGTAGAGCGCCATCTGCTGTTAAAATCTAAGCTCAGAATCGATTCCAGAGAGAATAGCGATGCATTCGGAAGATCTCAGAATCCATCCACGAATCAATTCTGCATCTGATTTATTGTCACAGTCCTAGTCAGAAATAATCAGGTGTGTGTCGCAGGTTTCGGTAAGGAGCTGTTTGAGTCTGATCTGGACCGGATCATGGATCACGTGGAGAGGGCTATTGAGATGGTGCCGGTTCTGAAGAACGCTGACATCATCAACATCGTGTCCGGACCGATCACATACACACCTGACCTGCTGCCCATGATCGGACCGCACCAGGGAGCCAGAAACTACTGGACCGCCATCGGCTTCGGGTGAACACACACACACACACACACACACACACACACATATATACACACACACACACACACACACTCACCCTCACACAACACTCACACATACACACTCACACACACACACACACACACACACACATATATACAGTGCATTCAGTTCAATGTTGATTCAGTTCAGTTCAATAACTGTGATTTTGTTCAATATGACTCAATTCAATAACTGATTCAGTTCAATAAGGCAAGGTAAGGCAAGTTTATTTATACTGTATAGCACATTCATATGCTATATGCTATACCAGTGTGTTAGTATTCATACACATTGGTAATTCAAAGTGTTTTACATAAAAGGAATTAAAATAATCATAAAAAATAATCACAACAATAAAAACAAGGAATTTACAAACTTTTAAAATTAATTTAAAATGAATTAAAACAGTTAAGAATAGAAAATGTTTATACATAAAATAACAATAACTGTGATTCGGTTCAACACGATTCAGTTAAAAAACTGTAATTCAGTTCAATAACTGTTTCAATTCAATATGGTTCAGTTCAGTAAATGTGATTGCTGGTTCTACAACTCAGATGTGAATTTTTTAACTTTTGTGCTTTAAAAATGTAAGTTTTTTCATAAAGACTACAAATACATACTTATTTCATTTTGCTTTTTAATCAAAAACACTGAATTATCATGAATCATTGACCAGATTGATTAATGAATATAGATATGTACAGGTGATGAATTAGAATTATTTTAGAATTATAAATTTTTTGAATTAAACAGATTATAGAATACACATGTACAAATTATAGGATTATATTTTATTATAGAATTCGATTTATGCAGATTTTAGAATGCATATCTTAAGATGACAGAATTATACTTTATTACAGAATTAAATTTATGATTATAAAGATTATAGAATAAATAAATACAATTAGATTATAAATAAAATCAGATTATAGAATTAGAATTAGATTATAGAATTATAGAATTAATAAATAATAAAATATATATAAATTATAAAATGTATATATATATATATATATATATAATTTATTATTTATTAATTATAGTTATTATACAGATTATAGAAGACGCACATATTTCCTATTGTAACACATGAAAGGTAAATAATTGCTTCCACACATCATACCGTGGTGATGATTGACAGGTACGGTATCATTCACTCTGGAGGAGTGGGGAAGTTTCTGAGCGACTGGATCGTGAGCGGTGAACCTCCGTATGATCTGATCGAGTGCGACCCCAACCGCTACGCTCACTGGACCAGCGTCCCGTACCTGTGCGCCAAAGCCAGAGAGTCCTACGGCTTCAACAACGTCGGTGAGTGGCGTGACAGGAGGCGCGTGTGGACGCAAGAAAGAGCAGAGGTTGCGTTAGACTTTAGCTGCATCCCAAATGACGCACTATACACTATGTACTTACGCACTATGTACTCAACCATGTAGTGTATGAATTATATAAGGTTATTATGTCATTCATAATCGGAGTCTGATAGCCCCTCCCCCTTCGGTACGTAATTAAAGCTGCGACAGTGAAGTGCATGAAGTGTCCAACATTCCACACTTAGTTTTTTTTGGTTATTTAAGTGCACTTTTTATTTTTGGAATTTTCAGAGTGAATGCACTACTCGCACTATTCATACTACAAAACGTCATAGAATAGTGCATAAGTACGCGATTTGGGACGCACAGGGTTGTAAAAATTCCGTTATAATTTATTATTACTATTATAATATCACATTTAATTGCTTGTATTTTTGCTCACATTTTCATTTTTAATAATGAACCTACAGGACGAGCATGTATGTAGGCTTATGCATTTATTTATCGGAGTGTCTATTTGCATTAATCTCACCCAACAGTTCCAGTGGCATAGCTGGTAAAGCGAGTGCTTTTTAACGCAATCGACCCGAGTTCGAATCCGCCTTTTGGCTAACTTTTTCCCCTCGTTTTTTCAAATCTCGTATCACATTGGAAAAGCATTTATTTTCGATAAAAATGAAGGAAATAATCGAAAAGTTAAACAATTAAAGTATTGGGTAGGGTTATGGTGTAGGGAGGGCTTTATTGTCCCAAAAATGAGGCATTCATTTAATAACTTGAATTTAAATTATAATTTACACTCAATACGTTATTGTTGCATACCGTTTTATAATGTACTACAATACTGAGGTGCAGATAATTGCCACTATTTGCAATAAGTAGTATAAATAGCAGAAAATCCTGCTATTTTCACTTAGTGTAAATAGAATCCATTGCTATTTGCACTTAGAGCAAATAGCTGCTGCCTTTATTTATTTGTGAAGAGAACAGATGAACAGAGATTGTGCGTCACTTTTCATGTTCATCAACACACATCTCGCAGTGACAGCGAAGGCCACTAAAAACAAGAAAATATGCTAGAAACATAGATTTCTCGATTTTAATAGATTCTCATTTTTATGAACCAATATCGATTCTTAAATCCCAATCGATGCTGTTTTCAGTTGATGAATGAACTGTACATATATATAGTGCGCCTCCCATCCAATAAATTCAAATTCTATCAATTTTATTTGGAAATTCAAGCAATAAATACTGTTTAGGTGCTCTTTAATGTGGCGTGATCAGATCAAGCGAACTGATCATCTCTTTCGCTTTACTAGTGGATAATCGCAACATTTAATCGTTTGAAGTTAATAGTGTTCACCGTCTGTTTGATTACGTCATTAACTGCATGAATTTTACTGTACATTTCTGCCATATAGACATCAACTTGACATAGTCACCACTGATAAGCTACTACTAAATATAATGTAGAAACTTTAAAATAGAAACTTAAATTTTCCGTAGAGCTGCTTTGCAACGATTTGTATCGTGAGAAGCGCTATACAAATAAACTTGAATTGAATATTCACCTGTGCATAATCAAAGGCATAGCAAAAGACTGGTGACGGTTTTATTTTTGTTCTGGAGCTGATGATTCTGCTGCCACCAACTGGACAGGGTGGGAATTACAGTTATAAATTACAATAGATCTCCCTCAAAGTGACAGATGTGATGTGTGATGTGGACGATCTCTGCGCTCTGACTGGTTTCAGTGGGTTACCCGAAGGAGGAGCGCTTCGCGGGTCGCCCGACTAACCGGGTCAGCGGCGTCTATGAGCTGCTGAAGGACAGATGCTCCATGGGCTTCCACGCAGGATGGGAGCAGCCGCATTACTTCCACAAACCCGGAGACGACTCCGGATACAAGTGAGCATCAGAAAGCATTCACTAATGATGGAGATGAGATGAACACGCTTAACCTTCATCCTCCCCCTGAACGTTCTGAGGTGTGCAATTATTTTCAGGGAAACACACAGCAAACGTATTTGTATTTCCAGAGACAGACTCAGAGATAAATCATCTCTCTCTCTAATAACTTAGTTATTAGCTGCATTATTTTTCTAATAATTCAACGGCCCGGAGTCAATTGTTCCTTACTTAAACTAGCTGTTTTCTATGTGAATATGTGTTAAACTGTAATTTATTTCTGTGATGCGCAGCTGTATTTTCAGCATCATTACTCCAGTCTTCAGTGTCACATGATCTTCAGAAATCATTCTAATATGCTGATTTGCTGCTCAAGAAACATTTCTGATTATTATCAATGTTGAAAACAGTTGTGCTGCACGATATATTTGTGGAAACTGTGATACATTTTACTTTTCAGCATTCTTTGATGCATAGAAAGTTCAAAAGAACAGCATTTATTTGAAATAGACACCTTTTGCAACATTATAAATGTTTTTACTCTCACTTTTGATCAATTTAAAGCGTCTTAAATGAATAAAACTAATAATTTAAAAAAAAAAAAAAAATGTTACTGACCCCAAATGTTTTACATTAGTGTAAGTAATGCTATAATGAAGTGAAATGTGCTGCTCTGATTGGAGGATTGTGAGTGCGTGTCTCTCTCGGGTCCTGTGTGCAGACCCAGCTTCAGAAGGACTAACTGGTTCGGGCCGGTCGGCCGCGAGTGTAAACTGGTGATGGAGGGTGTGGGTGTGATTGACCTTTCACCTTTTGGGAAGATCATCGTGAAAGGAGAAGATTCACACCGGCTGCTCGACCGGCTGTTCGCCAACACACTGCCAAAGGTGAGAGAAACAGGACAAGACCACCACAGTAATATGTGCTACAGTATGTTTGAGTGAAATATTACAGACAACCTGATGATCTGGACCAGAGGTTTATGACAGCAGAATATGTGTGTGTGTGTGTGTGTGTGTGTGTGTGAGAGAGAGAGTGTGTGAGAGAGTGTGTGTGTGTGAGAGAGAGTGTGTGTGTGTGAGCGTGAGTGTGTGAGAGAGTGTGTATGTGTGTGTGTGAGTGAGAGAGTGTGTGTGTGTGTGTGCTGAATGCTGATTGAATCATGGTGATCTGTTTCTCAGGTGGGTCAAACCAACATTAGTCATATGCTGACCCCACGGGGGCGTGTCTACGCTGAGGTCACGGTTACCCAGACTGCACCTGGAGAGTTTCTGCTCATCACAGGCTCCGGATCAGAGCTGCACGATCTGCGGTGCGTCTCACACACACACACACACACACACACAACCACCCACCAGTAACTATTACTACAATCTTGAGAGCTGAAGGAGCCAGTGTGTGTAATGTGAGTAATCATACTCTAACCCACACACACACACACACGTGGCGCCCCCTTCTGGATGAAAGTGAATTGACCTGCAGCACTAACAGATGTAGCTGTGAATAAGTCAGTCTTCACTAGTGCTGGAGCTGAAGCCTGTTAAAGTTCAGCGTTTGAGCTCCAGGCACGAATGAGTTATCAGATCATGTGTGAAAACATCTCTAAACCAGCTACAACACATTAGCAGCTGCCTCAAACACCGCATCACATTTCCATCACAGTTTATTTCATCTGCTTACACACAAAATCTTCACTTGTGACACAGTTTCTGAAAGCTGACACTCAAACAGCAGAAGCACACACCAAATCTACAAAACCATTCACTAATTCTCAGCCTTTGACTCAGTTTTCAATTTCATAAAACACTTTTTGTAAAACACAACACACAATTCTCTGTAACACACACACATCTAACAGGAATTAATATTATGGCAAATGTGTTTGCTTTTGAGATGTGTTTGTGATATTTTTAATGCAGTGTTTCATTTTGCAAGAGATGTGAGGCTTTTTGTGTGTGTGATTCTTGGATGTGTGTGTGTTTCTGTGTGTCTCAGGTGGATCGAGCGCGAGGTGTGTGACGGTGGGTACGCTGTGAGTGTGTGTAATGTGACGGATGAGCTCGGTGTTCTGGGCGTCGCCGGGCCGAAGTCACGGGCGGTTCTTCAGAAGCTGACAGATGAAGACATGAGTGACACGGCCTTCAGATTCCTGCACTGCAGATCCATGCAGCTCGCCGGTGTTCCCCTCCGCGCCATACGCATATCCTACACAGGTGACGCTGACCGCTACACGCTAGTCATGCCAATCGACAGGACGCATGCAGATGAGCGGCTGTCCTCATACCCTTTTGTGTGTGTGTTTCTGTGTGTGTGTGTGTGTGTGTGTGTTTGTGTGTGTGTGTGTGTGTGTGTGTGTATCTCTGTGTATGTGTGTGTGTGTGTGTGTGTGTGTGTGTGTGTCTTTTGTTTTCAGATGAACTGCGACACGAATCCTTTAGAAGCCGGTTTGGACTATTTCATCAAACTCAGTAAGGTAATAATAAACAGCAGCAGTGTGTGTGAGTGAGATGTTGTTAGTGGTTTGGAGCTCTCTCTCTCTCTCTGGCAGCCTGCAGAGTTCATCGGTAAACAGGCTCTGCTGGAGATCAAGGCTCAGGGTTTGAGCCGGCGGCTGGCGTTCCTCACGCTGCACACAGACGACATCGACCCGGAGGGGAACGAGAGCGTCTGGCACGACGGAGAGGTGAAGCTAACACAACACAACGAGCTGTGTGTGAAAGATCTTATCAAATCAGCCCACACGAAAGAGTTTCAGTGTGTGTGTTACCAAAGAAACAAGAGATGTCAGCTCAGAGTGACTTCTGTTTCTGACGGAAGCTTGTTTCCGACACTGAATAAAAAATAAAAAAGGAATTTACTTTTTTTCCCTCACAATTCAAGTTTATATCTCATAATTCTGACTTTTTTTCTCTTAACTCTGAATTCAGAATTGCAAGATAGAATCTCAGAATTGTGAGAAAAGTTTTTTATTTTTTATTCCTTTGCAAAAAAAGCTTGTCACAATTCTCACTATTCTGATGTTTTCTCAAAATTGTGAGCTTATATCTTGCAATTCTGATTTTTAGTTTTTATCTCAGAATTCTGAGTTTATATTTCATAATTCTAACTTTTTTCTTTTTTTCTAAATTTATATCTCACAATTCTGACTTTTGTTTCTCAGAACTGCTTAAGAAAAAAGAAGTCCAAATTCTGAGACGATAAATTGGCTTTTTTTCCATGGTGGAAACAAGCTTGCAATTCTGACTTTTTCTTTCTCCTAATTGAGATATAAACTGAAATTGGTAATATGTGAGCCTGGAGCACAAAAGCAGTCATAAGCAGCACAGGTATATTTGTAGAAATAGCCAACAATACATTGTATGGGTCAAAATTATAAATGTTTCTTTTATGCCAAAAATCATCAGGATATTAAGTAAAGATCATGTTCCATTTGTTTGTTGTTGAAAATTAGTTTTAGCATTATGGAGTAGAAATCTACCCTCCATTGCTCGTCTAGTAGCATATTCATGTGACCAAACATTAGATTGTAATTGATTATACTGATCCAATGGAGTTTTAACCTCGCTGCCTTATTTTGTACCAACTGGAGTTTCCTCAAATCCTTTTTGTAGCATTGGCCCCAGTGTTGCCAGATTGGAAATGTCCAAGTATCGTACCAGAAGCTCAAAATTATCATATTTGGAAGAAAATTACCGTACACGAGTAAAAACGTACAGAATTCAGCTATTTATCTACTAGACTAGAACAACAACTTTTTGACACAACCTTCAAATTACCACAATAAATAAATAACTATGCTAGGGCCTTATGAAATACGTTTTATTTTTTCCCAAATTCCATTTTTTTTTAAAATTCCAAATTTAAATTTTTATGGATTCTGTTTTTTTTTCCATTTAAATTTTTCTGGACTCCTTTTTAAATGGTTAAAATTTAGAAATTACGCATTGTGTATTTTAATTTTTCTGGTTATCGAATGGGCATAACACATTAATTTAATTTATCTTTTAATTAATGAAAATTAAACAAATTTTTTTTTTTGGCAAACAAAGGGGATTTACAATTAAAATTAAAACATGGGATTGGCCCATATAATCTGACAATAGTCCGGCTGTGTGAAGAAGAGAGTGTCCAATATTATTTTCATTATATCAAACGTGAAATATTGTCTACATCTCCTTACAGCTACCACCCTTCCCATTCTCTTCACTGTGTTCTCAATATGCTTTGACCATCACAATTTATTATCCAGGGTGATACCCAATACTTTTGCTTCCTTAACTTGCTGGATAAGTGTTGTATTTATATATAATTTCAGCTCTGGTTTGGACCGTAGAGAATAATTAGACCCAAATATTTTACTCTTTGTTTTAGATGTAGGCTATTTAGTATCAACTTGTTTTCAAAAATCCACTTTTCTATACTCTCCAACTCTTCATTCAAAATAGCCATCAATTCAACCGACGTTTGTGCAGATGCATAAACTGTTGTATCGTCTGCATACATTGTTAATTTAGCACTTCTTAATACCAGATATAAATCATTTGTGAAAATAGAATACAAAAGTGGTCCTAAACCGCTCCCTTGTGGAACTCCACATTCAATTCCTCTTCTGTCTGAGTAACTTCCGTTAATAAAAAACTCTCTGTGATTTGTTATCCGAATAACCTTCCATCCAAGCAATTACTGATGGTCTAAATCTATAACTCTCCAATTTTTCCAAAAGAAGCTTATGATCAATAAGGTCAAATGCAGCTGTAAAATCTAATAAGACTGCTCCACATATCCTTTTTTTTTTATCCAACCCTCGATACCAATCATTTGTGCTAAAGCTGTACATGTGGAGTGTCCTTTTCTAAAAGCATGCTGATAATTTGATATCAGATTATTCTGTGACACATAATCCTGTATTTGACAATATACTGCCTTCTCTAGGATCTTACTTAACACTGGTAACACACTCAACGGGCTGCTATTAGAGCCACTAAATTGTATTTTTCTATCTTTAGTCAAAGGCATGATTTTAGCTTCCTTCCAGGCCTCTGGAAATACTGATTGCTTAAGACTCATATTAAAAATATGACGTATTGAACCAGACACATAATCTACAGCTAATCGGATCAGATTATCATGTATATTATCTATCCCTGGTTGTTTTTATAATATTGTTTCTTTTTCTTTTTATTAAGACCTGTGACATAATTTCTCAATTTACACTATTTCTGTCTATCTTGTTACACTACCAGTTTTTCTTGCTGTTCTGAAAGCCTCGTCTCTCTGAGCCATATAGTCCTTTAGTTCGCTATCAATCCAGGATGCTCTACAATCCTTGATTCTTAAAAACGACACCATTATTGGGCGAGGCCGACTCCAGATTTCATCCTGTACTTTAAGAGCTTTTCCAACTCGTTGAACTTTCTGTATACCGATGTTGAGTGGGTCCAAATCCAATTTATTCTTAAAAAGTCTGATCCCTTTTCGTTCTCAGCTTCAGGAATTCCATCATCCATCGTTTTCCCATCTATCACCAACATCGATTCCGCCAGTTTATGTATGTCGTCTTCATTTGATTTACAATTAGACGACAAACTTACACTTGATGCTTTTAAATTGTCCACCTCCTTTTGTGTAAATTGGAGGCTAACTTTCAACTCCTGCAGCTCTTTCCAAATAGCGTCCATTCTGTTTCCATAAAGGTGTACATACAAACCTTAAAGTTGCTTTCTTGTTGTTGCAACAGTTCTTTATAGAAGGCTTTCTGCTGCTCCATCAGTTCACCAAAGCACCTGTTCATGTGTGATGTACTGTCCAGAGTCTTTCTCTTTATCCTTACGACCAGCCGTGCTTTCCCACCGGCAACCGGTATACTTGTGCTGTGTTATACTTTACTTCACTCCGCTGTGCTTCAAATCGATCATTTAAGAAAACGGTTTATTTCTGTGTTTTGCAGTAAGCCGCGTTCTGTGATCTTTTGATCACAGAAAAGAAACAAAACGGTCATTTGTAATTTGCATTCACAGCGTGAAGCGGCAGCCAATCACGTGGGGAAAAAAAATTTTTTTTCATGAAGATATTTTGTAAACCTCCTACCGTAAATATATCAAAACTTAATGTTTGATTAGTAATATGCATTGCTAAGAACTTAATTTGGACAACTTTAAAGATGATTTTCTCAATATTTAGATTTTTTTGCACCCTCAGATTCTAGATTTTCAAATATTGTCCTATCCTAACAAACCATACATCAATGGAAAGCTCATTTATTCAGCTTTCAGATGATGCATAAATCTCAATTTCACAAAATTGACCCTTATGACTGGTTTTGTGCTCCAGGGTCACATATATGATCACCTCTTTTCCTTTAATTTAGTGTGTCACTCATATTACTTTTCTCATTTAATTTCATTTTAACTAATTTATTATTTTCTTCAATTTTAATTTTTTAATTTTTATTCTTAATTTTTATGAACTTTTTTTTTTTTTTTAATTTTTTTGAACTTTTTTTTTTTTTTTAATTTTTTTGAACTTTTTTTTTTTTTTTAATTTTTTTGAACTTTTTTTTTTTTTTTGTATAATTTCTCAAATATATATTTTTGTATTGTTCTGTAAAACCGTGTGTTGTCTGGAGGTGGTGGGGAACACGACGTCAGGGTCGTACAGCTACAGCACACAGCAGAGCCTGGCATTCTCTTACCTGCCCCTGCACCTGACTCACGCCGGTCAGACGGTGGAAGTGGAGCTTCTGGGTCAGAAATACCTGGCCACGGTCACTCCGGAGCCGCTGGTCCTCACAGAACCCGCCAGAACCCGCCTGCAGAAGAAGCAGCGCAGCGTCTGACCATCATGAGCTCAATCAGTTTCATCAAACACACTCAGAACAGGATATAAATCAGCTGTAAGCTACACATTGAGCTAAATGTGCCAGAATATGGAAATGTATAAGTTAAAAGTCTATGTTAAAAATCTTTTAAACTGAAAACTGTGAAGATTTGCTGCTGAAACATCATGTCTTAATGTCCAGCTTCTGTGAATTATTTCCAGTCATGTTGAACTCTGACAGTGTTTTAGACGTGTGTGTTCGTGAGGGATCAGATTAACTGACGAGTCTTACAAAGAGCCAGAGAAGAACCCTAATAAAGCACAATCTCAGTATTACAGATTCCAATAGAATTCTATAATAATGACCTGATTATTCCTGTATCTCTGTACTGTTTGTTTTCATTGCGAATAAACACACTCTGACAGCTTTAATCATATAAGTAAGTGTTTTAAAAGTGTAGATTCATATTTATATGTTGACAAACGTTTGTTTATCCTCCTGAGACCCTGCGTCCTCCTGGTATGAGGACAGTTTTAATCTGGATGTCCTGTAAACTAAAGGCTTTTCAGTTTTTCAAAGTTTCATCATGACCGCTCCCTCTGCTTGGTCTTCAAAGATGACTGACATTCATTTAGTGATCAAATGTAACACTCAGGGAAATATGATAATATTTTGTAATTATCATTTAAATCTGACTAATTTTTAAACTGTCTGTCATAAATCAACATCTCAGGAAAATGTTATGGGGTTTCAAATCAAAATATGACTTTCATACATGTCCTCAGATGAGGACACCGGGACTAAAAGCATGTT